CCGTTCACCCGTGATCTTTGGACTTCGGGTATATCCTGACACGGCAAATGTATGGGTGGAAACAGTATATTTATATCCCATGAAGTGTTTCGCTTATAATGAATAACGATACCCTTAACATTATTTGCAGCAATCTTTGGTCATTTTGACACAAAATAGAATTTCTGACAGTCTGCTAGTCCATCTTTCATAAACCTTTCCATTCCATAATGATATGTATGTTCATCCCATGTTAATAAAAGCGACCTAACCTTTTCCATATTCATACGAAATCTCTGCTAAAAGCAGAGTCGATTGTACGATTCCCACAATAACATGAGCATGTGTTTACGAATCACAAAGCTAAGATTTGCTTATGCTATTTGTGATTATTATGTCGATCTAGTTATCACTGTTTACTTTTTCCTTCCATTGATAACTAGTTTGTGATGTTATGTTTTAAATCTCAAAATGTTACAAAACAAGTTTCTTTTCTAATACGTAAAGGATAAATCCACAGTGTAACAGTGTAACAGTGCATATTTGCTGTCAAAATGAAGGTTAAAAAGAAGATGATGATTGTTATTGAAGTTTCGCGCATTGAACAGCATAAAGGTTACTAGTTACATCGGGTATGTACACAGCCTTTCCAATATGACCCATGAAACACTAACTTCTTTAAAACAAATAAAACATGTATAGATAACAAGGACACACTAAAAAAAATTAAAAACAATGAATTAAATCATGAATACAAGCACACCCATTCATACAACTCCAACTCCACGTGTCTTTAGTATTAAGTATGAACATAAAGTTCAGATAGAGGCAGATTATAGGAACACCTAATCAGCTCGACTGCGATAACAATCACCATTCATATCCGTCGGATTAACAGGCGGTTTCACACAACGGTGAACTAAGCTGTCTGTGTTTACGTTAACGCTAATATCCTAAGTGTTATTGCAGATTGGCATTGGTAGTTACGATTCTACAACAACTGTTAGAAGGTGTTGGAATAAGATCAACTAAATTAGCACCTTGTTTGTACAGACAAATCAAGTATATCACATTGCAATAAGAGAGTGTATGTGTATATTGTGACATATTTCATAGACGTTTCTGATGAATACATAGGCCGTGTGTACGTGATCTAGACTACCAGTTGTCAGACTTCCATGGTTGTGGAAGCCTCGGTGGCTGAGTGGGTTAGATCGCTGACATTGTGTGTTGGCGGTAAGGGGCCTTACTCTGGCAGTGCGGGTCCGAATCCTACCCCCCCCCCCCCCAAAAGAGTAAATAGTAAAAATTTTTTTTACAAAAAATACGAGAATCTGTACTTTACCAAGGAAGCGTTACTCCAAATATAACATTTGTTACATTTGACCACTTTCTAAATGGCATTGTGTGGGTGTGTGTCGGTAGGTTGGTTGGTTGGTGTGTGTGTGTGTGTGTGTGTGTGTGTGTGTGTGTGTGTGTGTGTGTGTGTGTGTGTGTGTGTGTGTGTGTGTGTGTGTGTTGGCTATGATGAAGCAATTGTTTTTAACATACAGTGAACACGTAAACGTTGTGATACATTGACTACAATATTGGCGAGTACACACATCTAGATGGACTTCAATATAGAATAGTGTGAACATCGAAGAAAACAGCCTTTTGGATATCTGTCGAAAAGACGTGCCCTAATGCCCCTACAGATATACAGTAAAATACGGTTATCACGAACTCAAAGGGACAACTAATTTTACTTCCTTATAACCGACGTACGTTATAAGCATATGCACATCAAATATACAGCAAATGAACGGGACCAAGAAATAGTTCGTTACATCCGTCAGTTCGTTGTAAGCGTGTTCGTTATAAACGTAGTTATACCATTTAAACATAATCGAGTATAAACAGACCTTTATGTAAGACGAAACGAATGAAATGTTTATGTTGTTGAAGCGTTTAAATGTTCACGACTTAGATTGGTATGGTTCCTCTTTTGGCACAGTTCAATATAACTCAATCCGTGCGCACTTTAAAGGCGCAATGCGTCACGCACTAAGAACCATACACGCATACTGGACATCTCCACGTCAAATGGAGGTCAGGTACGTCGTAAACAAAAGTTCTAGATATGCGCATATCTGTGTTTCCTGTGAGGTGTTGTAAACAACTTTGCGCAAGTGAATACGTGTTATTGAATAAATGTCACCATGTTACAGCTGTCGCAAGGTAAGCACATATGCCGGTTTATGACGTGGCAAACCCACACGCTAACGTATGCGCAACACTATTACAGGGGGTCAGCGGACCAGCGTGCACTCGATTTTCATTCTCAACTAGAAGGGTAACAGTAACATCTCACCCTACAGGGTACCCATTCACTACTGGGTGAATAAAGTTCTATTTCGAACAAAGTCACTTGACTGGTGTAGGACTGTGCCGAAAGCCTAGTAACGTTCAGGAGCCACGCCCCCGAACATGGCCACCTAACCAAGGAGTCTCCGCGACCAAGGTTGCTTAATTTCACCTGATTTGTGACCTGTGCGCTCTACACAGACCACATTGACCCACGTTGACCCACGTGTATACTCGAATCCGGTCCACGGAAGCTAGTGGTCAAAAGCACGACGACGTTGTAGATGACACACAATCATACGCTGTGGCCATCTCCATATCAGTCAGCACTTCTCGATAGGATAAGATACTGGGGTCTGTGGTACTAGATGTAACATCTGTATCTGTCAATAGTGTACTTGATGCACCACGACTTATACGTGTACACTATATGTTTGATTTGAAAAAAAAACCCGTTTACTTTTTGTTTCATGATAATTATGTGTGTGCTCTCACCCATAAGCTACGAGGGCTATGTAAAACAGATGATTTTTGTCTTGGTAGAGGATACAAACCGAACAGAAACTTTATTCATCAGGTATTGTAAAATACGAATAATTTATTCAGTATTGCTATGATTTGTATGTGTACATCTTTGTATTCATATGGATACATCCAAAAACAAATACTATGGAATCCAATTCTACATATGCTTACAATGTAATATACATGTCATGACAGTTGCATATGTTATGCAAAACAATATTATAGGCAAGGATTTTGTACGTTCGAGAAATTGGAAATGTACATTACCTTATAACTTTGATAAAGACTTTAGATTTCTCCATGAATTCATGTACACGATGAAACATTTACAAATTGAATTTTCCCGAGTTATTTCTGTCTTCATTTAGAATAGTTTGTTGTCTCTTTTCCCTGAAGCTTTTTAAAAAATAACCGGTCAACGAAATAAATCCAAAAACATTGTATTGGAACAGGCCAAATTGATTATTTATTTATTGACTTTATTATGTAAAGAAATGGCCAATACTATCCACAGCGTAATGGGTTTATGTAACGCTGAACCATACAGTATTGCCTCATAAGGGGGCTTGATACGTTGCCAAGTACTCCGCAACGCTTACACTGTGACATAAAAACCCAGAACAGGTCGTCGTGACCTCATTTGACGTAAACACTTTGAGTCACAGTGCATAAGAGAGGGGTCAAAGTGAGGGGGTGAATGCCCAAACTGGCATTAATACTATTTAAGTAATGTGCCGCATCTCATGTAGCCTCTTGTTTAATTCTTACGTTTTCACTTTTTTATATCACTACAAAGCGTCAGTTTTTAGTGCCTGACGTTTTAATGGGCTTCTAAGGGACTTCTTGAGGCATATTTTTTTACCGGTGTAGGCCCTCAGTGTAGCATTATGGAACAGCACGATGTCCTTCACCTTGGTAGCTGTGCTAGGTCGATCGATGGGAGTGTGTAATAGCCGCTCTGCCCAGCAAGCAAGGAAGCGGAGAATAACGTTTTACGAACAATAACAAACATCAGTTAACGATCGGTGCTTCAGTGACACGGAGTTTGAACGATGTACATACTTTTAATAGTTAATGCAATGGACTCTATAGCTTTTGGACATATATTTACATTATTTACACGCCTACCGATGAATCAATGGATGTTGAATGCAAATAGTATGAAAGACGTCATCTGACAGAGGTATCTGTATTGTGAGCAAATAGCTGTTGTGCTGCTAAGAATTGTCGGCCCAGTTCTGATTCCGGATCAGTTGATGCAAATGTCGTGAAACAACATTTTTACATACTCATCTTGTCATATGTACCTCACAATATTATCACTGGATGCTGAATAAGCGCCATCAAATCAGTATCACCATTGTGTTGTATTGGGTGGCATCTCATTTGTTGTTTATCCTCCGGGTTGTCTTTTGTTTGGTATTAGCGATTTTCAAACAATAGGAATCATTCTTAATGACTACACAACTGACATATATGAATATCACAATGGAAAATCTGGTGTACAGCTTTTTTTGTAACAGATGTTGAGGGTAGTTTTCTGTTTTCTTCATGACAATATGTTGCAGTGACACGTTGACGATAGCAGCGCGGCCTTCACATATGTACATTCATCACTGTGTGACAACATTAGAAAAACAAATGGCTCCAGGGAAAAGTAATAATGTGATTGTGTTCAATGTGTCCCTCACCGTTGACATCACTCATTGTTTTAGTGCCTCACACTCAGTGGCTATGAAATAGACGCGAATACAGCGAATACAAATCATCCACACAGTGTAGACCCTGAACACCAATATGAGCGAGGTTCCCACAAGGGGTCTATTTCTATATCGAATTACGACCGGAAACCCATTGAGAATACAGTGGGATATCAATGTTGTCTGTATTTGTGCTGATTTTCAACCGACACCACAATTGCTCATACCGATACTACGAATTACCCAAAGTAACATCTTATTCGACAATACAACATGTGTCATATCTTCAGCATAAATTGAGAGTGTCCGTAATTTCGATGCAGTATTTGTTGAATAATAAATCGCTACCCAGAATCTTTTTGCAACATCCAATCACTTTTTCTGTTATGTACATTGATATAAGCATAAGTTGTGTTTTTACGTCTTACAGGTTTGCTTTCGTATTTTCAGGTTTGGGCCTTTTCGTGAAAGAAAGCTGGTTGAACTGGGGTTGATGATGTACACGGAGGGTGAAGACCGTGACAAGCAACCAAGAATGTCTACCTCACCTTCAGAACAAGACTTCAGTGTTAATAACATGAATACGGATGACACGGCTACCTCACAATACAATGGTCGATGTTTACCTCATATGTCAAGCATGCACCATAATGATCAGAATAGGTCAGAAGATTACTTGTCGAGTTCACCTGGGAGTCCTGGTACGGACAAATCGTATATACCTTCAAGGAAACAGAGAGAGTTCATTCCGGAAAATAGGAAAGACAACTGCTATTGGGAGAAACGTCGGAAAAACAACGAGGCTGCTCGCCGATCTCGAGAGAAACGCCGTCTGCACGATTTTGCACTCGAAAACAAGATATGTGACCTTAATGATGAGAACCGTATACTCAGGAAGGAACTCATTGCAGTTAAAAAGAAGTTCGGAGTTCCCCTGGACAAATGTTTCACCTTCTCGGATGACGAACAATCCGATACCTCGGTAACGTCTGCTTCTCAACCAGGAATGGCTCCTCTCGCACGACCCGGAGAAACTGTAACAACAAAAACTCATGTTCCCCATCCTGACGTTCTGAGTCAAGCAACCATATATACCTCGCCCCCACCTTTGCTTGCAGTTGCAGGGGCAGTTCCTATGTCTGTTCCTGTACAGGGTATACCATACACCAATGGTGCAGCGTTCCCTTACTACCTCATGCCATCGTCTGAAGCTCACAGTAGAATGAATCACGAAATGAACCCCTATAGAGCTAGGTCAGATGAACGAATGAATTCCGAGCCTCAAGATCCAGTCCCAGCATCATCACTAGCATCAAGACCAGCCTCCCTATATCACCAGGTTGCTGTGAAGAAGGAGCCTGGGGAGGAAAGAGACAGGCCTATTAATGCTTGTATCAGCGGTCCATCTTCTACTGCTCCCCAACAATCTCCAGAGATGCCGATCAGAGGGGAATATCATCATCATCTGCATGATCAAGATTCCCAACCTGACGCATGGATGGATTCCAACAGCAACAGCTACACAAGTGATGAAGCCATTGACGAACCTCTACAACTCACAGTCAACACGACTGGCAAAGATATGATGTTACCTAGCCGCATGCATTACTCTGCTGATTCCAGAAGCCCCCCAACAACATTACCTTTGAAGCTTAGACACAAAGAGTTCTACACTCCATCTAGCAATTCTTCACCATATTCCACGCATCCGTACATGGATGGCCTCGCTCAACTTTCGGAAATAGCACTGGCTCAAGCAAACCCGCTACCTCTTGTTAAGAAATCTCGCGACTACGGTTCCAGAATGTCACGACGAGCTTCGGTTTCCGGAGATATGGACCCTAAAATGCTTGATCCAAAATATCTCGAGAGACGGCGCCGCAACAACGAAGCTGCACGAAAATGTCGGGAAAACCGAAAGGCTTTAACAAGACTACGGGAAGCCAAGTCAGATTACCTCGAAGGAGAAAACAACAAGCTCAGGGATGAAATGGAGGGGTTGACAGAAGAAGTGAAACAGCTCAGGGATCTAATTGATAAGAAACAGGTGGAACATGAAATTAAACAACATCACCACACCACGGATCCGCCGGATACTTCATCAAGCTCCTAAACTACTCATATTCCACCAACACATTTCTTCCGCTTCAAGGTGGTTGTTACAATCCTGCCCGAGCACCATGAGCCGTTGTAACCAGCAACTCCTGTATGCACGCCCTTTCTGGTATGTGATCGTGTCTGTGTATTTTGAACTTGGACATGACTAACATGGTATACCCTCGAAAGCAAAAGGCCCGAGGTGCGTGTATCGACTTCTATCAGGAAGTACCTGGGAAGACATCAGTGCTAGGAAGGTGGTAATTTTCCATGTCGTCACACCCAGGGCCGTTATGCTCAACTTCACTGGCATTGTTATGAACTGTGAAGCTATGTAGAAGCTTGTGAACTTATGGAGTCCTCTGTTCCTGAAAACAGGGCTCCACAAATCAGGTCCCCGATTTCTCAGGAAAAAAGTGTTGCATCTACATTGTGCTTTGTAGTGTATGCACCTGTATGTTGCACTTCGATAATAACGGTATTTGATGAAGGGGTAATCTTAATATTCACTGACATTAACCTTCATTTTAAAGCACTGAGAAATATATTTATCGATAGATTTACACGTCTGTATTAATGATGGGTTGGGTCACTAGATTCATTGAGATCTTTTCTGTATTTTTGAAGAGTAGTTAGTGTAAACAGTTTATTATGCATTGCCCCTTCATCGTTGAGTGTGTCTTGCGCAATGTATCTGTATGATACAGCAGATGTTAGTTCACGTGATGTAAATGCACAAATATATTATGTATATGTTCATATGCCATAATTAATCATATTCGGGTAGATATTTCATCGCCAAAGTAAGCATTTGGAATCATTGTTTTAAAGTTGACGATTTATGAATGATATGGTATAATCAGGTACTACACCTGTTGTGTTGGTTATTTATTAATCAGGAACTAAACCCCCTCAAGAGGTAGCATACAATATGGATTCTAAATCTTTCAAATTGTAATGAAAATGGCCAAACTTGATATGTTTTTCTGACCGAAAATGTTTTTTCAAAACACGCCAATTATAAAACAAACACGCGGATGAAATCTCAGATCGAGCCATTTAAAGACTTATTTTGCTTCCTATTTCATACCAGGCATTGTTTGACCAAACACGGGTTACGTCTGTGCAACTATTACATAGACCTTTGTACAATATTTCTCGCGTATGGATAACTCAGGTTTCATATCTATATCTTGTGTCATGTTATGCGTAGATTTTGACTAATCCACAACTATGGGTTAATTTTGTTTCCTGTTTTATGTAATGTGTGTGTGTCGGATAATCTGATTATGATTGGGCAATTATATTGTGTTTCGTGTGCGTCACGTCCCATGTCGAAGTTTCAATAGTTGGGCATGAATATAAGAAACCTACTTAATATTCAAGGTGTCAGTACAAGCACAGGGAATATATTTCAGCATCTCTAATTATGAACAAGTGTCAATTGTTTCATCTTACAAATAGACGGTACAAAGGAGTGACGTTCCAATTTCAGTGAAACTTTGAATAATATTCATTCCTCTTTCCCCGATTCAATCGAATGAATCGCAGGCCGAGATGAATATTTTGTTTTGTTTTGATTCTTGTTGTTATGGTTTTCATATTAAAAACTACCTCATTTCACATACGAAATTGTTTACGGTCATGATGGGCATGACAGTCAGACAGTTTATTTTCAAAGACAAGCAATTGTTCTGAGTCAGCTTAGCGGTCTTCATAAGCAGATTCTATATGAAACGACGTCTCAAGTTGTCTGTAGTTTAAGGCATGGTTCATAATTAGGGAAAATGTTAGTAACAGCTTTTTGTTTTAGTCTGTTTTGAAGATTTTACCATATATAGATAAGTATTCTTATCGTAGCATTGCGAGCACGATGAATGTCCCAGAGATACATAAGTCATAATTTCAGTCAACGGGTATTTGTTCACAATTACCTAATTGATACATTGTAAGGTAGTATTAAGTTCTGTTTTGCAACCATAATGATTAGTAGAGAAGAGTAGTTCATGAAATAATAATTCTAGATGACATTATGTGGAGTTATATATTCCTATTTCAGTTTCTTCATTAAATTAAACTTAGTTTATGGTATTTATGAGAGAGAAACACTGTGTCTACTCGACCAATCCGATTGCATGTACAAAGTTAGTCTGGCACTAATATCGTAGGATTATTCATTAAAAATGTTACAAATATACCTTCTTAGATATAAACTGCTAACAAGCTGAAATATTGATTACCCCACAACTTCCCTGCACATTTCATAGCCCAAACGTGTTTGTGTTTCTTCGATGTATGTTTTCACTCTTCAGGCCAGACACTTTGTCATTCGTGGTTCTCAACCGCTGTCATTTACATTGACTGTATATCATGTTTATGTCGATTTGGTATTGTCATTCATAGTTTCAAACTATCTTGATTCTTAAAACAAATATTTAGATATTAAGCCACGGTAACATGTCATGTTAAATATAGGATGGGTGAGAAAGCAATTACTTAAATATTAAGCCACGGTAATATGTCATGTTAAAGATGGGATGGATGAGAAAGCAAATACTTAAATATTTAGCCACGGTAACATGTCATGTTAAAGATGGGATGGATGAGAAAGCAAATATTTAAATATTAAGCCACGGTAACATGTCATGTTAAAGATGGGATGGATGAGAAAGCAAATATTTAAATTTTAAGCCACGGTAACATGTCATGTTAAAGATAGGATGGTTGAGAATCAAAGATGGCCAACTTGTACATAGCAAGCACATTACTTCACTTTATTATTTTTACCTCTCTACAACTGACTCCATTTGGGGTACTCCTGGCAAACGTGGTGCAGATTTATACATAGTTATGCCTCCTTAAAACATATGTTTTGTTATTTGTGATGTCTCCCTTTCCAGATATTGTTGAATTTGATATTTAAGAAAGAAACATTTAGCTTGTTTTATATGGAGTAACTATCCATGCTTAAATTTCAATCTGATTTTATCCCATTCGATCATAATCATTACGAGACATTTATGTCTATTTATTCACGATTAAGCAGGAAACTGGACCAACTGAAAAAAACTGGAATTTTTATTATCCATTACCTTTATTCAGCTGCCCTAACACTGTATTTCATAAATCCCTTACCAGGAAAATGCTATCACGTTTTTGTTCAAGATATTTATTCCTGGTTGTTTCAGTTTACGGTTTCGTTTGAATATAGACGTGTTTCTCTGTTTTCTGGTAAACATTTTCCCGTTTTGTGCATGTCCACGTGCATGCCTTTATGAACGACTCAACACAGGCTGCCTTGCGGGTTTCCAAGTGCTGTTGTTGAATAAGTGGACGACCTACAAACGGGTTTTGTGCTTTTAGCGTATGCATACGTACCATCTGTATTATTAAGGTTTTGGGTTATCGTTGCCTTAATTTGCATTTTAAGTGCTGTTTCATTTTTACTCTGGTGCCATAGATCGCGTCATCTCTTAGTGCCTGGATGGAAGCGTGCATCTTCTTCCAAGTTAAAATTCCAAGTGTCATATTATTTTGTTTCATATGACATCTCACTTAGTGAGATTTATCATTTTTCTAACATAATCGGAAAAGTAAGGTAGTGCCATATTGTGGATCTAAACATCATGTTGCGTGTGGCATGTGACGATTGCGGTAACTGTTTTACAAATGTATGTTTCTTTTTTAAAACAAGTGCTATAATTATATTAATATTCGTTGAAATTATCATCCGGAATTGTCGTCATACATTCTTCTGGAGTATTATGAGTCGAAATGTAGTGTCTTAGAGCATTTTGTTCTGCGGACCTGGAGAATGGTAAGGCGAAGTATTTCTTAATGTTACTGTTTTTTCATCCAAGGTTATAGTACTATGCTTGTGACACATTCTGATTGTTTATGTTTTTAGCTTAACTATAGAGTTATTCAGTGTTCCTTTTACAAAGAAATCCAAACTTATTATATTATTTTTAAAAGAATAATATACCCCAAATAATATAATGTTTTAATAATCACATTTTAAGCACAAATTACAATAGAAACTACCGATGCTTGACAATTACTAAGACAACGTATGATAGCAAATTTAATGTCAAGGTCGTAATATAACAGTCAGCTTTGAAACACATGCTTGCATAGTTGTAGTCAGATGTTTTAAGTCTTTTGTCATAGAATTGATCTAATGCGTTTGCCTGATCTACATTCATATTTGATATGCATGTATGTCGTGATTTGTGTAATTAGGTTAAGCTAGACGTGTGTGATTTATTACATCTCTAGTAGAATGTAGTTTCTGTAGTCATGGTTTATTTCTTTAAAGTCAAAGTAGACTAAATGTGTATAATCATCTACAAAACGGGTTCATATGTGAATAAGACGTGCTCTCTGTTCAGAATTTGCCATATTTTGATAGGTATGTTACATGGATTTACAGAAAAGGTGGATTTCCTCTTAGGAAATTGAGTGGAAAATTTCTGGAATCATATAACTTTTCAGGTTGCCGCCTTTTCCCCACTGTTTTCATTTCATTGGAAATTCATATGTTCATGCTGTGTTATCAATATTATGTATTTGTGAGACGGGTAATCTTGCTATTAACTAAACTATTTGTTAAATATTGATATTATTGACATTGTGTAACACAAATCACCTCATAGGTTTGTTTCAGCAAATCGGTCTAATTTATTAAAAAAACTATTTCATTCCAATGTTAGCGAACACCGTTATCTTGGACATTTAAAGTAGTGTTGGCGACCAGCTGATGTCAGGGACGACCTTTCGCGGCAGTGTACCAATTATCGTAGATAATTCATACATTTATGTTTGTATATAACTTGTAAAACATGTAAGTTTAGCCTGGTGTGTATTGAGCACATGGGGTTTGCCTGTCTAAGCCCATCCCTTTCAGGGAGCTATGTCTTCTATCTACCTCGAGTACTAATACACTTCACATGCGTTTACCCATCTCATCATTTGGTCGCGCAAATAAAATATTTTTGTCGTCCACGTGTCTCTCCTGTGGTTATTTATTACTGGGTTCGCAGGGTAGAAATGTGATCAAAGAGTTCGTTGCACGCCGAAGACTCGGATTCTATTCCCCATTTGGGTGCAATGTGTGAATCTCATTTTGGTCCCCCGTGAGTGAGTGAATGAGTGAGTGAGTGAGCGAGCGAGCGAGAGCGTGTGAGCGAGTGAGCGAGCGAGAGAGCGTGTGAGTGAGTGAGTGAGTGAGTGAGTGAGCGAGTAAACCAGAGGTGTTTGTTTGACTGCAGTATCTTGCACAATGCCCCACGCTGAGCAACAGATGTTCATCTGGTTATGAAACCTTTCACGGATTGTTCACTGCTGTGGCCAGTCTTAATTCAAAGGGCACCAACACCCGCCTTGGAAATGTTTGTGTCTGCTGTAGCACGGACACCGAGGTTTGTATATATTTGGGATAACCTAGCGGCATGGTCGATGGTTGACACCATCTTGTACAATGTCATATTGCGTCCCTGGGAAGGATATTTAATTATCCGACAAGTTTCTCGGCTAAGAAACTAATTCACCGATCGATAATTAAGATAAATACGCGATCTTGACTGATATATAACAAGGTTACCAAGGATACGTTAGATAACTGAAAACGAGTATTTTATCGCAGGATAAAGTACTGTCGGTGCCTTTGATCTTTTAGCGAAGCATCTTAGAATGGAGGTCACAGCGACTCCCACACCGTGTACGCCATGATGTAACTGAAATATTGTTCAAAGCGGCGTAAAATACAACTCGCTCACCCATGCATTATGTACCAATAACATAATTGTATAGCTCACCTGAAGTAAAAGGTTACTTAGACTGCATTAATTTACATTTGTAGTAAATGAACTAGGTTTGAAATTAATCTTTATGTATATTATTTTTACTGAATGGCATCTACGCGGCAGCGACTACTATCTTCAATTACAGTACAACAGCTGTTGCTGAACATTTCCAGTCATTTATCCACCAATAAATTGTCAGAGAAGCAAGAACACATATGTGAACACCACACACATTTATTTGTCTCTGAACGTGTCAGAAAACCTGGAAGCATTAATGCGAACACCCGGTATTACCAGTTATTTACTTCCGAAAGTGTCGGAGAAGCCTGGACACATATGTGAACACCGCACTCATTTATCTATCTCTGAACGCGTCAGAAAACCTGGAATCATTATTGCGAACACCCGGTATTACCAGTTATGTACTGCCGAAAGTTTCGAAGAAGACTGGACACATCTGTGTATACCCAGTGTAATCAGACGTTCATCCATTGCTGAATATACCCGAGAAGAATTGACACGTGTGAACACCCGATGTAACCAGACGTTCATCCATTGCTGAATATACCCGAGAAGAATTGACACGTATGAACACCCGATGTAATCAGTCGTTCATCCATTGCTGAATATACCCGAGAAGAATTGACACGTGTGAACACCCAATGTAATCAGTCGTTCATCCATTGCTGAATATACCCGAGAAGAATTGACACGTGTGAACACCCGATGTAACCAGACGTTAATCCATTGCTGAATATACCCGAGAAGAATTGACACGTGTGAACACCCGATGTAGCCAGACGTTCATCCATTGCTGAATATACCCGAGAAGAATTGACACGTGTGAACACCCGATGTAACCAGACGTTCATCCATTGCTGAATATACCCGAGAAGAATTGACACGTGTGAACACCCGATGTAATCAGACGTTCAACCATTGCTGAATATACCCGAGAAGAATTGACACGTGTGAACACCCGATGTTACCAGACGTTCATCCATTGCTGAATATACCCGAGAAGAATTGACACGTGTGAACACCCGATGTAATCAGTCGTTCATCCATTGCTGAATATACCCGAGAAGAATTGACACGTGTGAACAACCGATGTAATCAGTCGTGCAACCACTTACAGTGATAGTCACATATCGCTCCAATGTCATGAGTGTACAAGCCTTGGCATGAGTGTACAAACCTATGCAGCCACCTAACAGTCTTTGCTTCAACAATAAACTGTGATAGGACTGATAATGCTGATTGTGCATTGTGGCCTTGTCTGTTCTATATATGTTACTAGGTGATCATGTATGTATACAAATAATTATAAACATATAGGCTGTCATATTCGTTTCATGAATACAAAACACCAATAACATTGAGACAGAACGGGGGATAAAATACACTATTTCAACCAAAACGTTGCAATAAACTGTGCAGAGTGAGGCCCCTTTTTCGTGTCAGGATCCGTTGGCCTCGCTCCGTCTGGAACATAAAATACACCAATCTGTGAGTTCTATACGCGTGCTCGCAAACATCTGCTTTCTCATCGGGCCATCATCAAATTACCCAGGTGCGCTGACATATAACTGAAATAATGTAAAACACGGCGTCAAACTCAATCACATAACTATGTGTCTAGTTCAACCGAAACATTAACTTCAGATGAAAAACAAACGCAAAACGCCAATCAGAGAAGTCAAGAATTAAAATATGATCTAGACACAAATGCCATTTATATATCTATGACATGTCAACCATCAGATAAAATTGTTATTAGATTTAATGAGTAGCTGGTCATTGATTTCAGACGAACCGTAATCTTTGAGAGCGATACTAGCGCGATAAATTGGCCAGAAAAGGTTAAATTCTTTCGTCTCGTTAGTGCCAATCCTTATGTAGTTGGTTAGACGTCTGTTCTCCGCGGTCACCGATAGCTTCAGGGCTGGTGCTGTCCTCTCCTTTAATTAAGTCTATTTTCGTTTCTGGATTCCTATAAAAGTTTGACGGGCAGGCACATCCGAGTAATACGGATGAGAAGTGACGCAAAACCGACCCTAATATGTCTGAGAAGCAGATTGGTCCCTCCGGACATATTGTTAACGTTGCCAGAATCCGTGGTCGTAACTCTATGGTAGCCGATTTAGATAATATTGCTTTATCTTATGTCTTTGATTATGAGTCAGTCACTTTTGATTTTCGTTTACTTCTGTAAAACATATCCCCCCCCCCCCCCCCCCCCCCCCAACTCATTCACCGCTTCAGGCGTGGTTTTCCTGTTGGGTGTCTTTGACATAAACCGTTTTAAATATCAACGGTTACGGCGTTCCCTTGTTGCTTACAACCTTGGCGTGTCAGAGTGTTTCAGTTCAGAGGAACAGTACTTTTTGTCTTGTTGAAGGAATACAACGGGCTCCTGTTGTATAATTTACATTGTATTAAATGGTTTCTACTGAACTCAGTATCTCTGTCAGTCGTGGATGTTTTAAGGATTTATAAATATCAAAACCGCCATATTACATTTTAAATCCAGTCAAGCTATTAGAATAAGTGTTGTGTTCTCAGATAAACAGCGTGGAAAATGAAGATATCCAAAAAGTGAATTGATAGGATGCAAATTATTTGTTCAATGTCTGAAATCTCCGTTTTTCCAAACAGACATTTATGGAGGTATATGAGATAACTCCTGCAGGTACATGCAAGTATATGATATATGTCATACAGGTACATGTAGGTATATGAGATAAGTGATGCAGGTACAAGTAGGTATATGAGATAAAACATGCAGGTACATGTAGGTATATGAGATGTGTCATGCAAGTACAACTAGGTATATGAGAGAGGTCATGCAGTTACATGTAGGTATTTGAGATAAGTCATGCAGGTACATGTTGGTATATAAAAGAACTCGTGCATGTACATGTAGGTATATGAGATAAGTGATGCAGGTACAAGTAGGTATATGAGATAAAACATGCAGGTACATGTAGGTATATGAGATGTGTCATGCAAGTACAACTAGGTATATGAGAGAGGTCATGCAGTTACATGTAGGTATTTGAGATAAGTCATGCAGGTACATGTTGGTATATAAAAGAACTCGTGCCTGACATGTAGGTATATGAGAATAGTGATGCAGGCACAAGTAGGCATATGAAATAACTCATGCAGGTAAATGTACCAATGTACGTATATGAAATACCTCATTCAAGTACAAGTAGATGTATGAGATAAGTCATGAAGTTACATGTAGGCATATGGGATAAGTAGGTATATGACATCACTCATGCAAGTACAAGTAGGTATATGAAAGAAATCATACAAGTACAAGTAGGTATATGAGATAACTCATGCAAGTACAAGTAGGTATATGAGATAAGTGATGCATGTACAAGTAGGTATAAGAGATAACTCATCCAAGTACAAGTAGATGTATGAGATAAGCCATGAAGTTACATGTAGGCATATGGGATAACTCAGGAAAGTACAAGTAGGTATATGACATCACTCATGCAAGTACAAGTAGGTATATGAAAGAAATCATACAAGTACAAGTAGGTATATGAGATAACTCATGCAAGTACAAGTAGGTATATGAGATAAGTGATGCATGTACAAGTAGGTATAAGAGATAACTCATCCAAGTACAAGTAGATGTATGAGATAAGCCATGAAGTTACATGTAGGCATATGGGATAACTCAGGAAAGTACAAGTAGGTATATGACATCACTCATGCAAGTACAAGTAGGTATATGAAAGAAGTCATACAAGTACAAGTAGGTATATGAGATAACTCATGCAAGTACAAGTAGGTATATGAGATAAGTCATACAAGTACAAGTAGGTATATGAGATAACTCATGCAGGTACATGTACGTAGATGAGATAAGTGATGCCGGTACAAGTAGGTGTATGCGATGAGTCATGCAGGTATATGCATGTACATGTAGGTATACGAGATAAATCATGCAGGCACAAGTAGGTATACGAAATAACTCATACAAGTAGGTATATGAGATCAGCCATGCAGGTACATGTTGGTATATAAAAGAACTCATGCAGGTACATGTTGGTATATAAAAGAACTCATGCAGGTACATGTTGGTACATGCGATAAGTGATGCAGGTACAGGTAGGTGAATAGGGTAAGTGATGCAGGTACAAGTAGGTATTTGAAATAAGTCAGGCATGTACATGT